ACACCGACGAAGGGGTTTTTCTTTGGGAACCCTAACCGGAGCTTTTGACTCAAAAGTCTGGCCCACAAGGCAGTGGGGCGTAAATCCAACGCGGGAGCGTAAACGAAGCATCCGTTTGGGAGCTTCTAGAGACCTGTCACGCAAGGCCTTTGAATTTCGATTAATTGTGTTGTTCGCTGGTGCGTTGATTTTGGGTCCGCTTTTCTGGATCAGCCCTCAACCTCATGCACCCAATGAGACAAGCGGAACGTGGACGGGACAGTACCTTATTGGCTGGGGACTGCCCAGCTTGGGTGGGCTGTAGCTGTCCAATGAAGTGGAAAGACTTCTCCCACCGTCGAGAGGAAGCCCCAGGTAACCGCTCCTACGTCCATCTAGCGGGGTTTTTTTGACCAGTAAACTGCCCCTCACCGTGTTTTTTACTGAAGTGACCTTTCCAGGAGCGGGTGTGGATAGAAGAAAGAAGCCAGGAGATGCCCAAGCAGCTGGCTTGTGAGACTGGTCTTCGTCTGGCCTCTACCCGTTGACCTTTCAGACACTTGTGAGACTGAGCTTCGTCTGGCCTCTACCGTTGACCTTTCAGACATGATTGGATCTACGGCTGTGAAAAGCCATCCTGTGTAGCTCGCAGGGTCATGGAGGCACGCAAGCCATCACACCGTGTCAAGATGCAGTCTCGTCGTGATGGACCATTACATATGGCAAGCAGTGGTCAATTTTTCCTTCACCGATAGTGAATTTACATACTACATGGCAATTGATATTTTATACAAGATTAAATTTCACTGAGAGGTAACATTAGGCGCCTGTGTACATCCTGGGTAATAAATAACATGGATGGTGGCAAAGATATGTACGCAACGTGCCAGACACATGAGAAGCTTGAGAGTTACGTAGCTTAGGGAGCGGTCGTGTTTGGTACAACTTGAAAAGCTACAGTTCACGTATAATGGTGCGACACTGAGCACGATGGACAGTCGGAGAGCAGAGTGTGGTGGCTGACACACATTAAGCGAATACGATAGCACAGGTGAATTGAACGAAGTTGACAACCGGATGACCGGCGGCCAGTCTGCACTCCAACTCACAATTAGGTTGCAGTTAGCGTGTTCTTTGCTACAGAATAGAAAGTGATAATAAGGCATTGGGAAGCAGAATGACACAATCTTGTTTAATTCCAAGGTGTCACCTGATTGGCATTAAATAGGTGTAGAGTAGATAAACAATAATAACTATGAGGAATTAACATAACTGATGCTGATGAACAAATGTGCTTTCAGTTGATATCCGGTTACTGTTGGAACCAACCTGTAAGAGGAAAAGGGGACAATACTTGAGACTGCAACCTGTGGATTATTTCATGCAAATGGCTATCGGATAAACAGATTCTTGAGTTCGCGTAAAGATTCTGGAGAATTAAGGCTGAACGACCATACAGAGAGTTATAGATCTGATTGATTCACACCTGAATAAGCAGTTTGCACATCACTATTTAAAGTAATACGGCATTACGTAATAACCTTAGTCAATCTGATACAAGTGATTGCTCTGTGTGAGTGCACACTTGTACTCATTGGTTTCGCGGCCTTAGTATATTTCTCGGGGCAAAACGTGTTCAACTGCCATTGGTCACAGGTAGGTACAGAGTGAGAGAGAGAGAGAAAAAGACAACACTGATCCTATCCAATTTGTTTGACAGCGGCAACTTTTAAATTTCACTGACTTGTTTATTCTCTGTTCATCGATCAACAAGTACTACCAGATTAAGAACTTTAGCGAGATCTGATACACGAAGCAGATTGCATTAGAACCAGTTAGCACTGCTCCTCACGATTGATCTGGAGCCGGACTTCAGAACAGAATGAACCACGCACACATACGCACAACTCTGACCATGTCTAGTCACACTCATCACGCCCCAATTACAGTGCTATGCAATCACGCCAGCGGAGTTTCGTGAACGGTGCTCAGGTGATCTCCTATTCACATGTACAAACTATGATGGCCCACGTTAAGTTATACCCGTTCCCATTGGAGAAGGGTCAAGTATTCAGTACGCGCATCATCATTTCGGTCCATGGTGAATCCGAAAATATGTGAAATTACGAGGCACGAAACGTTTTTAGGATCACCGGGGATGCTTCCCGTATCTCCGCCATCATTGTAACCATAGGATTGTTGAATCCACACATTCCCAAAACAAAAATGGGCATTGCCGGCAACAAACTACGGGTTATCAATAACTATAGTAAGCAATTACCAAGACCAGAGCTATTTGTCTCTCATGGTGTCCATTCGTACGAGCCTTACCGAGGTATCACACTGGTTAGGAGAATTGATGTCCAATCGGAATTAGTCTGGAATAAAACATTATTGATCAATATGCCAAGATGTTGCAGGTTACTATTCCCAGCTAGAGGAGGTCACAGTTAATAAACGCGATTATTTTTTTTCTATCTAATTTACACCCTGTTTGAAGTGCTATTTGCGACAGTGTTGTGATCGGACTAGTAATTCGTATGCATATGAAAATCCGTGCAGTAATAGTTCAATCCAGAACTATGTAGGACTCGAAATGAAATCAGAACACAGCAATCAACAACGGAATCGAAATGTAATAAGCGAAAAGTCAGAATATACAAAGATATCGTGTTCAATGATAACAAAGCAATTCATAGTTCATGAACAATCACCACAAATAGTAAGGGTTGCATTCAACTTGAGTCAAGCTATATTTACTAAACCTGATGCGTTTAAGTGTGTTGCGTGTTCGAGATTTCAACGACCCAAGCTCAAACAACCGTTGGTGCAGATACGGGAGGCAATTTGCGGGGAAAATCGCAAACGCGTTTCACGCACTATGTTTGTCACGTGATCGGTAGGGAGAATTTCCGGGAATTGCGCATCTTGGAAATCAAACGTGTCAGAGAAATAAACATATACGGACAAAACAATAACATTTGACACCGGTTTCGGTGACAAGTAAAAGTTCACAATGTCATCATGATTGAAACAGAATTGTCCGTTTGACAACTGTGACATGAACAACAAACGAGCGAAAACAAAATTTCTTGGATGACGGACTGCCGCCGAAACGTGGGCATCCAGTAGGCAATGCGTCGGTTCCATTGACCTGGAGCAAAACTAACTAATATCTTGGGGGAGGAAGTTATGATCATCAACAGTTTGGATATATGCACGCAGGAAATCGGTGTACCGATAGCATACTGCGCTAGAATTTCTGTTGTGGTATAATTAACCATTTAGTTTTATTGAAAGAGTAAGATCTTTTTGAAAGGTAGAACCTCGGTAAGGTCTACGTATGCAAAGATACCGAATGAATTATTGAAGCTATGGCTACAACAGAGAACGATCGTTTTCATGAAGGAATAAAACTCTCCAGCTCGTCAATGGCGAGATTTGCTGTGTTCACTGAGTCACTATAATGGGGCTAGATAGCCAGATTTCAGTCCGTTCTTGAAATTGTGGAGATCATCTCATTAGAGCGAAATATCGAAAACTGCAAGACCGAAGACCTTGGGGAAATTGAAGATATAACCGCAGGATGAAAAATGATGAGCTGGAAAAGCATGTTTTGAAAATTACCAATGAGTGCCACATCTGCCTAGTTCGTTATAATGAACAATCTTAGTCCCGAAAACTGCACACCTAAGCATACCATTACCAGATTATCGTCATGCATTTGACGCTGTACTTGTTTCATATCACGTGAATAGCTCCTGTTACGTAAGAACCATGAACAAACGTGAATGGTAGCATAAAATCGACAGTCGTACCATAATCAATGGTTTTCTGTCGCTCCGATCAATCATAACGCAGTCCGCTGAGGATGAACATTTTCCAGCATTGACTTTGATTGATCGAAACGTGTATGTACGTATGTGTACAAACGGGGAGTCAATGCACCGTGACATCAAACGCATTTGTTCTATTCAGACTGCGGTGGACCATCTCGAGTCGGTCATTTTCAGGCTGCTTCTACTGTGTGGCTATCGCACATTATTGGGAATCATTTTGCAGTGAAATGATCTATAGTCATTCATAATGCAGGAAGTTATATTTCTACTGAGAGCTTCATAGTCTATAAATATTTCATCAACCAGAATGTCAATGATGGTGAGAATAATTAGTTGACATTTTTCTTTGAATATACAGCTGTTCAATCAAATTTAGACAGAGGGAAGTGACTTATCGAATGCTAGTCAACAGAGAAAAATACAGTGCATGAAGTTTACTTTGCTGTCAGGAGTTACCCACCAGACTTCCGATTCAATGTGAGTGAGGTCTAACCGTACGGCTCGATCACATCATTTATCTTGAAGTTACATATATTTGCTAGGTGAAAATTTACCAATCCATTGTTGCACACTTGGTCGAAACTGGACATAGGGTGAAAACGAATTCCGCTTTCACCATCATTTATCGCGTCCCACAACACAAATCGAAGGCTGTTCGAATTAAAACGCTGGCAACAGCCGAGGCAATTATCATTCGCTTGTCGACGCCAGAAGTGTGCTCAAAAAACACTTGTTCAGCCACTTAAACTTCCCTGGCCCAAAGCGGACAGCATCACGTATGAGTGTTGAGATGACCCAAATCAATTGTCAAAGCTTACGTAACCTATTCTTATCTGAACATGAGAACGAATGCCAAATGCGTCCCCACCCCACTGTTTGACCCCAACACAACACAACACTTTTCCGTTATTTTCTCACATAACTGTGATTGTACTGACTTGATAAGGAACTCACCGAAAACGTATGTTTGCCCACAACCTGTGTTCTGATCAAGACTATGGATGTATTCTGTGATTTGGAATCCAATTTCCGACTTTGCATGTAAAAGCTCGTCCCATTCCATTTTGTTGGGACAATTGTTTCCATTTTCTCGCTCCTGATGAAAACCGCTTTTCTTATAAAACTGAGGGGAAAAAATCAGAAGCTACAATATAAATTATTCGGTCAATGTTGTATTGTTCTTCAAACTTTACTTAACCTCACCGCAGGTATCATTAAGTTTTGTCATGAGTAGTGAATATTTCTGGCCCGATATGCGGGGGATCACATCGGGGTATAATCTTTTATCCCAGATTTTTGACTCATTTGTGACATGATGGATGTGGACTGCGCATGACTCACAGTGAGGTTAAAGCTGCTGTACGGTGGCTTCGTGCTTTTTGATGGTAGAGGTTATTTATTGATACTGTTGTATGGTGGATCACATGTTACGACAGAGGTTATCGACCTATGGCAAATGTCTCATACCCCCCACACATCCGCTTACAAGCGAGGGCAAACACGATTATCATTTAATCGTTTGTACGGAGCCAATCGATCAACTGGAATTCACTGCCATCAGCGTGACTAATCTTACGGTTGGATCATAGAATTTTGATAAAAGTAGTCACGTACCACGTTAATAGTGGCGTGCATGAATCTTCATTCAGATTGCACCCATCTCCAGGTGACTGTAATATCCGAAGAAGCAATGTGGGTTTCAATCCAGCCACCGTGAGGGCATTGACTAGATCAGTTCGTGCGGATCTACAGACAGACACGACGTTTTGATCAGAAGCATTGTAATGAGAATTTCGATTTCAGACTTTATAGACATGATTGCTCGTCACCTAAAGAGAACAATTTGTAATACAGTTCATATCTCCGGAAGGTACATATGAAGGACCAAGTCCCACTCTAATCCATTGACTGTTACGCAGATGAACAACTTGGATGCAGTATTAAGATTTTCCTATTCGATTTAACTTTCCTGTGGCAACAACTGTTGTATAAACTAGGAGTGAAATCATCGAAATGATCGTCGGGATCACATAGAACAGTCAACTTTGAAATAGCACACACACGTAATCCCTGCGTTTTTGCAAGAGTGGTAATTGTGTGACACGCTTTTTACCATCTGTACCAGGGAAAGCTAGTGTATATTGAAATGTTGAAATGTTCCGATAATTCGAGGTCATAGCTTTCTCTTCCAGTCGCCGTCAACTTTTCTTGAGATTTGTAATCCCCATGTATCGATGATTTTCTTTGAAATTTAATGTTTGATCCGGTCGTTGCTTAGAATGCAACTCCTAATTCCTCAGAATTAAAATATCATGATCGGCACCGTCATAAGGCCATTCCGGGAGCCCCGCTTGAAAGTCGTCCACCGCACCATGTGTGAAAAAAGAAATACGCACGAGGCACTGGTTCTCTTTAATTTTGTGAAACCGGATGCCAGATCTGTCTGAGGAAGAGCTAACTCAATATTTGGAAGCTTAGAGGTTATCACCATGACTAGTTTTGTGCTAGCTAGATTGCCTCCTTAAAAACGGTGTCCTGCTCTATGGAGAACTCACCATACTTTAACTTAATTGTGGAAAGCCATGCCAAGTCATCTTATGAACTGCTCGGAGCTTCTCTGTTGATAGTTAGATGGCGTTTTTTCAGTGCTGACAAAATTTGTGATAACCGTTTGATTGAATATAACACGGTAAGCATTTATCTTTGGCATACCATGTGACTGCATCACCGAGGTGCTGCTAGGACGGGGACGTTGTGCAGTCATAACTTACGTTATTACCTATCCCATTGTTTCGAGTTTCACAAAATGTGGGAAAATATTAAAACACTGGACTTTTTGCGTATGTGGGTGAGCAAATGATCGATTGCAGATGACTATTTAAGTTGTAAGAGCAATCTATGAGATCTACCGAAGTGCTAACACCGCGGTATCGAGGTAAAGGATAAAGGATAATGGGGAAACAGTGTTTAATATACTTAAGTTCGTTTATATTTGTAAACTCATATTTCGAGGGAACAGTTATCTAGTGCTCGGTACCGATCACCAGAGAGATTTCTGTTAAAAATAGTTTAGACTTTTCAAGTGGAAAAGTTAAAATTACCGTGATCTATAGCCTAACTAAAGCCGTTTCAGCCTTCCTCATTCGCTTCCACCGCACCTATGAATGAAAGACCCCTTGCCGAAACTTCGTTTTAATGCTTTTTCATAAATTTTTGACCTAGATATGCAGGGCGTGTATTCAATAATAGCATAGTTGTCAAAATGAAACAGACCGTTTGATATCTAGGAAACCGTACTGTTTTGGTCCAGTTAGTCTTTCATGGCAAGAGTAATTATTCAGTTTGGCAATTTAACTTCATTTTATCAGTATGTTCCTGGAAACATGTCAGTACAGTACATGTATCACTACTAGCACTTTTACTATCTTATGGATCCCTTAAATTGCTATTAAGCAAAATTCCCGGTCAGTTTGGATAACTTTACACAACATAGCCTGGAGCATATGTGGCTTTCACGGGTACAGAGGTTGTTCAGTGACCGCTTCAGTGGGTGATTGTTTGTGACTGCTTCACTACCGCTTTGTCAATGTTCAATGTTCTTCAATTAGAGGCAGAGGGTAATTTCCCGTATGAGCCTCATCACCACAGACTCGAAGATCTCATTCATGATACATCTGCATACCACATTGTTCGCAGGACGCTGTCGAGCTTCCTCTTGAACATCTTATCATTGACCTCTTCCACCACGTCAGCTGGAAGGGAGTTCCAAAGATTGGTTACCCTTCGCGATAGCCGGAACCGAAGAGCTAATCCTACGGACGAAAGCTTCAACAGCGTAAGTCCATGTGCACGAGTCCTGGTCTGCTCGCGCAGAGCGAAATACTCCATCAACTCTGGACCCATGTCACCGCGAAGAATACGTCGCACACAGATGAT